AATGTATGTATGTATGTATGTATGTATGTATGTCTGTATGTATGTATGTATGTATTATGTATGTATGTATGTAGTATTATGTATGTATGTATGTATGTATTATGTATGTATGTATGGTACTGTATGTACCTGAGTCTGCATGTTTATCTGTCTGTCAGTCTATCTGCTGAACTCTGTCTATTCTGTCTGTGTATGCAATTCATGTTGTGTGCTGTCAAATTGGGATATGCGCGGGTTGAACATTGTCTTTTATTCTTGTTGTTTTTTTAAAGCGCCGACAGAATTATTTAAAGGTAACCTTTGTCAGGTAGTAAAGCAAATGTCGTATTCTGATGTAAATTGGAATACCACAAGCAACATTCAGGCTGCTTGTTTGTAAAAATGTGAAATGATTCACGGACATGGTGTCTTGCAGCGCGCGCAGCACTCACCGGCACAAGTTTTGTCTGTATGCGCCAGCTGTCATGTCACACATGCAGAGCTGTCTGCCTTGTATAGTTAAAGTTCCATTTTTGGTATGTAACTCGCAAACTTTGCGAAGTGTTGTTGTACATTGTGTAACAGCACCTAAGGTAGAAAATAACTGAGCATATATTTTTCTTGAATTATAAACATTGAATACAACACAACGACTTACAAAGAAACGTGCGTGCGTGCGTGCGTGCGCCGCGAGTGGTGCGTGCGTGGCGTGCGTGCGTGCGTGCTGCGTGCGTGGCGTGCGTGCGTGCGTGTACATGTTTTGATCGGTGACGCTGGGTGGTTAAGATAGAAATAATAGGGAAGACCTTGCACACGTGGTCCAGTACTTTGAAGCTGAATTATTTGAAAGAGCAGGTAGCTGCAATGTTTCTGAAGGCTTCAGCAATGCCAAGCAGCACAAGTACAACATTCCCTCTTGCGCTCTATCTGTGCGGTCCACTGTGATGGCAGGGAGCTTGTAGTGAAAGCGTGTAACACACGCCGAGTTTTCATTCCACGACAGATTTGTTGGTCACGTGCAGGTGTAGCCAGCTTGCTGTCCATACGCGCAAATAAGTGTTTTATCGAAACGTGGTTGTTCGTCGGTATTTTCAAGAGCTCTGTTCGGCGATAGCAGTCTTTGGAAATAAGTCTGAAGTTACACCGTCCAAATTTCAAAATTTAATTCTAGCTATATTACAATCTATATATAGTAAAATTAAGCTGCGTCTTGTTCCAAACGTAACTATCCAAACTGGTGGGGGGGGGGCGTGCTACCTGTTTCCATACTGCGACAGTAACAGTTAGCACGACTAACGTGCGCAGTATTTGTGTTTTACTTTTGTGCCCTTGTCTGTTGATCCTCAGACAATGTTTTTGCATTGTGTGGTTAGAACAGTGTTAGAATATGTTGAGCCTACAATAGTTTAGAACATCTTCTAGGCAAATTAAATCTTACGTAAACTTGCATTATACTGGCTAAAATGCTCACTAAACTAAGGTGTTAAAGGTAAGAATAGATATAGGTATTAGGGCTTGTGCTAACCTAGGATATCTAGTACAGCTAGCGCTGCTTGTCAGTGTCACTCTGCCGAGACCGCTAGCCCGACCCGCGCTGTGCGACCGGATTGTTCTCCCTACATGTCTATTCTACCTACACATCGTTTCTTGGAGCTACCAAACCGAGACCCGTGACACTCCAAATGCATGTGACATGTGTATTCACAAGAGAAAGTGGGTTGCAGATCGTGAATTTGATAGTGCCGTTATCAGTTAACCAATATTTATTGAATGTATAATGTTGATGTCGCGCAGTAGGTGGCATGAACGCATGTTATGCCTATATTGATTAGTACATGCCTAATAATGCACAGGAGTACAATGCACATTAGATCTTCTTCCGAGAGCATCTTAGCAGGCTTTACAATGGCGAAGAGAAATTTCCTCAACACCGAACGTGGTGTTTTGTGTGCTAGCGTGGGCGCGCGTTCGTGCTCGTGCATGGTATTGCGGCATGAACTGGTGTGGGTCATTTAGATGCTTCAACCTCGCAAACAAGCCAACGTCCGTTTTTTAAACCGTGCCTCAATTGTCTTCGTCGCATGTACAATGATAGCTATCAATGAGAAGCGCTCAGGTTTAAATTGTGAAGGGCTGAATTGCTGGTGCATAGTACGCCAGTGCCTGAGTCAGCATACCATCACGAGCCTGATGCAACTATTACATGGCAGTACACTCATTTAGCTCGCCGAGAAGAAAAACTGGCGTTTCGAGAAAATTTGATGTCTAGTGAAGGATTGGTAGCTGTACCTATTACGGGTTACTATTAGTAATTAACCTTCTACACGAAGCTAATTGTGGTCCGTTGCACAATTTACAGAGAAGCGTGCTCGACGAAACTACCATATCCTCACCGCATAGTAGATAAATTCCATTTTTCAATGCTAGCACGCATTATATTTGTTATATTTTAATGATTTTTGTGTGTGATTTAGATGATACTCGCTGCACTGCACTTTAAATGCAGTCTGTTTCACGTGATGATTCAGTGTGTTGAATGTTTAGTGATATGAACGTGTGGAAGACAACAGCAACTTTGTGTGTAATTGTCCGATATTGCGCTGAAGTCGCGGTGCGTGTGGCCGCTGGACCGTAATGATGTTCGCTGCATTCATGCACGTGATCCCGACCTGGATCCGTGTGGCCGATGGTTGCCATTAAAACTTTCATCAACAATCAATAGAATTTTCCTGACGTGTGTGTGTGTGTGTGTGTGCGTGTGTGTGTGTGTGTGGCTGCGTGCGTGCGTGCGTGCGTGCGTGTGGTGGCGTGATTGCTTCTTCACGTCCCCTCATGCAGCAGTTAGGCTTCTGTGTGCTGCCTGCTGGCCTCATTATAACCGCCTAGTTTCCCTGATGCAATCCGGCAAACCGGTTATCTATTGCTCGAGAAAAGTTTCCCACTTTGAAAACTAATCCTATTCTTACTAATTATGGTAATGACTTCTGGAAACAAGCAACTGCACATTCCGCCGAGTAGCGTGTAATTGTTTGCCATGTGTCTGTTTCGGAATGATTGACAAGGTTAGGTCTGACTTTCAGGCAACAAAGAAGATGAGTCGTTACCATGGAAACCAGTTCTACTCAGTAGAGGTGGGAGATACGACATTTACCATCTTGCGAAGATATCAGAATCTGAAGCCCATCGGATCTGGTGCTCAGGGTATGGTGTGGTAAGTACACCCCATGCTTGTGTGGTCACTGTGGTCATACTGCTCCCATGTAGCATGCTTCCGTGCATGCTGTTGCATTTTTGCCTTTCCAAGTGTGTATAGACAACAGCACAGCTGATTGTTGTTTGGAAGATGTATTGACTCTGTTTTAAGACATTGCAGTCATGTGATCGTCTAACCAATTATCTACCACACCTACATTATTCACAAACCATACTATTACCTACTACACCCACACCATCTACCATCTAACCCACTATACCTACCACACCCACACCATCTACCAACTAACCCACATGTCTGATGTCTGCATGTATTTCTGTCTTGTCAGTCTATCTGCCTGACTCTGTCTGTCTGTCTGTGTATGCAATTATGTTGTGTGCTGTCAAATTGGGATATGCGCGGGTGAAATTGTCTTTTTTCTTGTTTTTTTTTTAAGCCGACAGAATTATTCTAGGTAACCTTTGTCAGGTAGTAAAGCAAACGGTCGTATGTCTGTGTAAATTGGAATACACAGCAACTCAGCTGCTTGTTGTAAAAATGTGAAATATTCACGGACATGGTTGTCTTGCACGCGCGTGCGCGCACTCACGCACAAGTTTTGTCTGTATGCGAAGCTGTCATGCACACATGCAGAGCTGTCTGCCTTGTATAGGTTTAAAGTTCCATTTTGGTATGTAACTCGCAAACTTGCAAGTGTTGTTGTAATTGTGTACAGAACCTAAGGTACAAAATAACTGAGCTATATTTTTCTTGAGATTATAAACATTTGACTACAACACAACGACTTACAAAGAAATCGTGCGTGCGTGCGTGCGTGCGTGCGTGCGTGCGTGCGTGCGTGCGTGCGTGCGTGTACATGTTGATCGGTGGAGCTGTGTGGTTAAGATAGAATATAGGGAGACCTTGCACACGTGTCATACTTTGAAGCTAATTATTTGAAGAGAGCAGGTAGCTGCATGTTTCTGAAGGCTTCACAATGCCAAGCAGCACGTACACACATTCTCTCTTGCGCTCTATCTGTGCGGTTACTGTGATGCAGGGAGCTTGTAGTGAAAGGCGTGTAACACACGCCAGTTTTCATTCCATGACAGATTTGTTGCGTCACGTGCAGGTGTAGCCAGGCTTGCTGTCCAACGCGCAAAAGTGTTATCGAAACGTGGTGTTCTCGGTATTTCAGAGCTCTGTTCGGCGATAGCAGTCTTGGAAATAAGTCTGAATACCAGCCGGTCCTAATTTCAAAAATTTTAATTTCTACTATATATAATCTATATATAGTAAAAATTAAGCTCGTCTTGTTCCAACGTAACCTATCCCAAACTGGATTTGGAGTGTCACGGGTCTCGGTAGCTCCAAGAAACGGTATTGCTAGGATCTAGTACAGCTAGCGCTGCTGTCAGTGTCACTCTGCCGAGACGCTAGCCCGACCAGGCTGTGCGACGGATTGTCTATACATGTCTATTCTAACCCTAGCAATACCGTTTCTTGGAGCTACCGAGACCCGTGACACTCCAAATGCATTTGACATGTAGTATTCACAAGAGAAAGTGGTTCAGATCTTGAATTTGATAGTGCCGTTATCAGTTACACAATATTTATTGATTCGAATATATATGTTGATGTCGCGCAGTAGGTGGCCATGAACGCATGTTATGCTATATTGATTAGTACTGCCTAATATATGCACAGGAGTACAATGCACATTGATCTTCTTCAGCAGAGCATCTTAGCAGCTTTACAATGGCAGAGGAAATTTTCCTAACACCAACGTGGTGTTTTGTGTGCTAGCGTGGGCGCGCGCGTTCGTGCTCGTGCATGGTATTGACGGGCATGACTGTGTTGGGTCATTTAGATCGCTTCACACCTCGCAACAAGCCACGTCGTTTTTAACCGTGCCTCAATTGTACGTCGGCATGTACGATATAGGCTATCATGAGAAGCGCTCAAGATTTAAATTGTGAAGGGCTGAATTGCTGGTGCATAGTACCCAGTGCCTGAGTCAGCATACCTATCACGAGCCTGATGCAACTATTACATGCAGTACACTCATTAGCTCGCCGAGAAGAAACTGGCGTTTCGAGAAATGTCTAGTGAAGGATTGGTTAGCTGTACCTATTACGGGTTACTATTAGTATTACCTTCTACACGCGAAGCAATTGTGGTCGTTGCACAATTTACAGAGAGCGTGCTCGACGAATACCATCCTCACCGCATAGTGATAAATTCCATTTTTCAATGCTGAGCACAGCAGTAACCTAATTTGGTGACAATGTGATTGTTATATGTATTGCAACAGTGGCACTGTCAACTGACAGCAAATGCGCGTAGTTTGAAAACAGAGACAAAACAGTCACGCACAGCCGTGATTATTGTTACAGGTGGATGAGGAGAGGCAGCTGAACTGCTTGCTATCACAGCTGTCCTCCGCATACATGAATGTAGCGGCGCCGGTGCAACATTTCCCCGTTGCTTAACAGGTAAATGGAAGCTCGAATATTTATGTGTCCATAGCGCTATTATACACACGTATATATATATATATATACTAGCGGGATACCCGGGGTTGCCCGGGGAAATCATTGGTGTTACTCAGTTGGTGACCGCTTGGTTGAAAGGAAAATGCCCCAAAAAATCTAACTATCTATCTATCCATCCATCCATCCATCCATCCATCCATGCATCCATCCCATTCCATCCCATCCCATCCCACCGCATCCCTTCCCATCCCATCCCATCCCATCCCATCCCATCCCATATCCCATCCCATCCCATCCCATCCCATCCCATCTCATCCCATCCCATCCCACCGCATCCCATCCCATCCCATTCTATGCCATCCC